GGCAAGACACTTGAAGATACATTTCTCCAAAGATGATACACAAATGGCCAAGAAGCATATGAAAAGATGACAACATCACTAATCATCAGAGAAATGCAAATCAAATCCACAATGAAATATCATCTCTCCCTGCATTAGGATGGCAACTATCAAAAAACAAAATACTACATATTTGTGGAGATGTGGAGACTTTGGAACCCTTCTACATTGCTGATGGGATTGTAAAATGGTGCAACTACTATAGAAAACAATATGGAAGTTCTACAAAAAATTAAAAACAGAACTACCAAATTATCCAGCAATCCCACTTCAGGGTATGGATCCACAAGAATTGAAAGGACTGTCTTAAAGAGATATTTGCATACTCTTATTCGTAGTAGCACTATTCACAATAGCCAAAAGGTGGAAGCAACTCAAATGTCTATCAATGGATGAATGGTTTAACAAATGTGTCTATACATACAATGGAATAGCATTCAACCTTAAAAAGGAAGAAAACCCTGTCACATACTAAAACATGGTTAAACCTTGAGACCATTACGCTAAATAAAATAAGCCAGTCATAATTAAACAAATGCTGTGTGCTTCCACTTATGTGAGGTATGGAAAGTAATCAAATTCATAGAAACAGAAAGTAGAAAGGTGGTTCCCAGGGTCTGAGGGGTAAGGAAAATGGACATAATGGCTACAGAGATTCAGTTTTGCAAACTGAGAAAGCTCTGGAGATCTGCTTCACAGCAATGTGAATGTACTTAACACTATTGAATTGTACACTTAAAAATGGTTAAGACAGTACATTTTACATGTTTTTCACCATAATAAAAAATTTGGTAAATATTTGCATATAGCTTAACAAATGTTAAGTGTAAAAAACCACAACAATATCTCATTTGTATAAGGAAACAAACTTGAAGAAAAATACTAAACAATAGCATATAAAATGAAGATAACGTGTATTATAATCTTTTTTTTAAGAATCTTTTTATGGTTTGGGAGAATAAGGATACCATTTAAATATGACCCCATTAAGAAGTCTGGTAGAACAGGGGTACCAAATAATAAAATATACATTTAAAACTTTCAACCCAATAGACAGAAAATAAATGAAATGAGGGAAAACAAAACCATAAATTCAATATATAAAAAGGCAAAAAAGAGTAGGACAAAAGAAACAAAGTGGGACATACAGAATGCAAACAAGAAGTAATAATACATCAGTACTCACAATAAAGGTAACTGCAATTAAACACTAAAGACAAACTAACCACCATGAATTAAATAAAAAATAAAACCAAACTATTTGCTACCTAAAAGGGACACACCTTTTAGAGACACAAGACCATGGAACAACTGAATGTCTAAAGCAAGATAAAAATATAACCAAGCTAGAATATTAATTAAAAGAATGTGTATCCTTGTTAATATCAGAAAAAAATAGAGTACTAGCCTAAATAGTGATCAGAGATAAAGAAATACAGAGTATAGTAACAGTTTATTCACCAGAAAGATGTTATATTCTAAACACAGTATGTATATAAAACATAGAATAAAAATACTTTAAATATATTGAAATATAAATAAATATAAAATTTGTTTTTAACAAATATTTATTTATTTATTTATTTATTTTAAAGATTTTATTTATTTATTTGACAGACAGAAATCACAAGTAGGCAGAGAGGCAGGCAGAGAGAGAGAAGGGGAAGCAGGCTCCCTACCGAGCAGAGAGCCCGATGCGGGACTCGATCCCAGGACCCTGAGATCATGACCTGAGCCAAAAGCAGAGGCTTAACCCACTGAGCCACCCAGGTGTCCCAACAAATATTTATTTTTAAAAGGTAAATGAATAAATCCACCAAATAGTGACAAATATTAACATAACTTTCTATTGGATAAAGTAAAAAAAAACAATAATTAGAGAATATATACATTTCACAATTAAAAAGAGAACTGCCACCCATATGCATAGAGAACTTACCACCCACCTACTGCACAAAACACATTTCGTTTTTCTTTTGAAGATTTTACTTATATATATAGAAAGAGAGAGAGAGAAAGTGGAGTCAGGGGCAGAGGGAGAGGAAAAAGAAAGAATCCTAAGCAGGTTCCAGGCCCAGCTCAGAGCAAGACATAGAGCTCAGTCTCAAGACTCTGAGATCATGATGTGAGCCAAAATCAAGAGTCAGACATTTAACTGCCCCACCCAGGTGTCCCATCTTTAAAGCTATGATTATTCTTTATGAAGACTGGTCAGCTCCAAGGTCATACTACCAGCCTCAAAATATTTCAAAGACTGACATCTTACAGAGTACAGTCTCTCACCAGAACTGACTAAAGGAGAAATTAACAAGAAAAGGATGATGGGGGGGGGGGAGAATGTATCTTTGCAAATAAGAAAATATATATTACTAAAAAAATATGTTGGTTGAGAAGAAATAATAAGAGACAAAGAAGGTAATTAAAATCGAAAAATAGCAAAAACACTGTATGTCAAGCTGGTTAAATTCAGATAAAAGTAGTTCTTAGAAGGAAATTTATAGCCTTATGGGTTTGTATTAGAATTAATGAGTTAACTGCCAACTAAGAACAACAGAATAAACCCAAATTTAAAACAAAAAGAAATTAGTAAAAACACAAGAATGAAAAAAATTAGTTAATATTGTTCACTTAATTTATTTGCTTATCATCATATATAAAAATAAGAAAAATAATTTAAAAAGATGACAGATGTGTTGATTTCTTCCTATTTATAACATTTTGGAAGCTACAGTTTTATTGGTAATCATACCAAGAAAAGTGAATAAACTTTGAATACTGATGGTCTGGACACTGCAATTGGATAGGAGGAACCAATTTTTTTCCTGTATTATCTTGTTCTTATGAATGGATATAATTTTTATTAATCTTGTTCAAAACTCTTCATATTCAATAATTTTAATTTCAAAATCATGTATAGTTTTTTATCAGCTTTTATATCTCTTCAGTATCTTTTTAAGAATGATTTTCATAAAATATTCTCATGAGCTTGTTCAAAAATTCATATAGAAACTGATCAACATCTATAACTACATTACAACATAGACTTTTATTCTTAAATTAAAAATGACTATATAAAGAATTATGTATGCATTCATGTATTCTAAGTCAATTGTACCTTTTTATGTTTAAAAACTATTCATGTTACACAAACATTTCATTCAGCTTTCATGTTGAGTATCAGAACACCCTGGACAGCTCCACACCCATGATTCTCCTAACAACATTCAATTATCAGGAATGTTAAACTTTCCTTAACTTCAAATGCATTCTCAACAAAACTCTAAGTATAATTGAATCATTCCAGATGAATTAGTCATAAGCAAAGAACAAAAACTATTTAATAAGTAGTAAAAATAAAGATTAATATCAATATAATCTTGTTCTGGAAAGACTTTTAAGTTTAGCGTTCAAGACAGAATTCAAAAGTTAATAGAGTCATTCATTTTCTTTCTTAATAATAAACACTTTAACCAACAAACCAAATATGCTGAAGGGAATTTTCTTCTTTTTTAATCCTTACTATGTTTAATTACAATTTCTTGCCTTAATCTGCCATGATTTCCACCAAAAAGAAAGTGGTGTGGTAGAAAGAAATACTTACAGAATTTTCCCAAGAATAATATTTGTAATAATTTTTGTTGATCTGCTTTTGAAGATTAAGAAGGTACCTCTATTCCTAGTTGTTCAGGGTTTGTTGTTGTTAAATCAGTAATAGATATTTTTTCTTGATTTAATTGAGATGCACATTTAATGGCATTTGTGTCTACATACGTGCATGCAAAGCTTTGGTTTGGTTTGAAGATTTTACTTCCATATTCAAGTGTTAGCTTGGAATCTTTTTCTTTTTTATACTGTCCTTGTCAGGAATGCTATCAAGGTTTTGCTAGCCATATAAATAAGAAAGTGGATCTTCTTTTTTATTCCCTGGAAGAGTTTATATAGGATTATACTTAGTCCTTATTTGAATGTTGGCTAGAACTCACTAATTAAGCCATGTGAGCTTGGATTTTCATTGCTGAAAAATATCTAATAATTCAATTAAACAGTAGTTCATTTTCTTTAGTTGTTATAGGAATAACCAAGTTTTTTTTTTTTTTCTTCTCAAGTAAGAACTCAGTAATATTTTGTAGGGGTTTTCCCATTTCATCTACATTTTTTAAGTTACTGGTATAATGTTGACAATATTCTTTTATTCTCATTTTTGTGTCTAGAGCATCTTGGTTATAATTACCTTTTCATTCTAGTGATAGATAATTGTGCTTTTCCTGTTATTCTTTTTCTTTCTTGATCTGTTTACATCCATTTTCCTATATATCTAAGTTTTTTCAAAGTACTAAATTTGTTCATACTTTGTATCATGTTATTTTGATCTCCTTAACTTATCTATTATTTATTACTTCCTCTATTATGTACCTTTACATTTATTTTACTATACCTTTAATAGCTATTCAATAAGAATGTCTAACTCATTAGTTTAGGGCATTTTTTTAGTTGTTAATGTGAGCATTTAAGTTCTGAATTTCCTTCCAAGTATTGCTCTCATTTCATCTTACAGACTTGTTATTCAGTATTTTTTTATATTATAGCTGAAAATTATTTCTATTCTTCACTATAATTGCTTCTTAGCTAAACTGGATATTTTATATATATTTCTTAACTGGAATATGTGGGATTTTTCTCATTATCTATGTGACACTTATTTTAACTTAATTCCATTGTGCCTGAGAACATTATTTTAACCTTTTTAGAGCATTTATTATTTCTTTTTAAATTACATTTTTCAAAAAAATTTCCAGAGCTTGAGCAATTTTCATTATAACTTTTCTGAGTTTTTTAGTCTCATATTTGAAAAATTAAATAAGAATAAAAAATAAAGCAAATTATATTTAAAAGAAAATGAACCTTTGTATATTTTACACTTTATATAACACTAAATGAGAACTCTCGATGATATAAACTACCTTCTCCCCTGGGGTCACCGAAATTCTCCAGATGCAGTGTGTATAAGAAGGGTAGCCGTTTGGAAATCCTGGAGAGGAAAGGTTGCCATTGGATTCTTGTAGGGTTTCTCCACATGCTAAAAGGAAAAAAAAAAAAAACACATATATTTGCTATTTTAAAGAGGTGAGTTAACCAATTTCCTTAAAAAGATAGTATCATTCTTTAATTTTTATGAAAGACATGGACATCAAAAGGCCCTGAGTCTTTTGGTGTTAGATGAAAATATGTATTTCTGTTCTAGAAAAGACTTTTCCAAGTAAATTCATCTTATGTTTCTACTACTAGGATTTTTGCATACTTAATGGTTTCATTAGGGCCAACCATAAAGCAAAACTATAAGATAAATAATCTGGCATTCATAAAGTTCTTCCTCATGGAGAATTTTCTCATTCATTCCCAAAGAATTAGTAGGTCACCCATACTCATATTCAGGCCAGTGGGTATCTGGTTCATGTGGCTAGGGAATCATATGAAACAAAATTAATATTTTTCAGTGTAAAGTGAAGCTAAGTTTCATAGCAAATACCACACCAAATTTGAAAAACAGAAATCTTAAATAATAACCAGAATACAATCAATAAAGGTGATACCAAAATGTCATACACAATGAAAATTTTTCTCAAAATAACCTGAAAAAATTAAAAGGTTAAAACCTTAAAGGAAGATTAAAATTTTCCAAGAAGATGTGGACATTGATTTACTCTCTCATTTCTGTTGATCACAAGTAGAAATTACTGGAAAAACAATTGTGTTTTCCTCTTACTAAGGCTGTCTAATATCTTAGAAGTAATTATCAGTCATCTAAAATAGCAAATTATCAGCTACACAGTCTCAAGATCTGTGTGATTGATATCTCTAGGGCCATTTCAACAAAGCCATAGACAGAGAGTAATTAGCTTATTGGTTTAGCCAATAGTGGTCAGAACCATTCTATAATGGGTTTTCCTGTTGTTTTTGTAAGACATAGCATGTGCCCCATGAACATTGGTTGGTTTAAGTATCCTGAATTCAAGAATGATTCTTCCACTGCAAACTGTCATCTTTATAACCTTCACTTAATAAGAGTTCTTTCCCCCTGAAGGAGGCTGAAATCAGACTGAAATATTACCATATTACAGAGTCATAGCTACCAGTAGGTGAATTCTTGTCTCATCAAATCCTCCATAAATAAAAAAATGGTTTTGCATATCTTAAGTTAAATGAGGAAAGAAAGATGATGACTTTGAAAATAAAATTGAGTTGTAAAAGGTCTGATATGATATAAATATTTATTTGAAAACACAGATATTAAGTTTGCACAACAAAACACATTTCAAGTAGGAACAGCAGTGTTTATTCTGATGAATAGGCAGATAAAAGCAACTTTAGAACAAAATGAAAATGCTCAAGGTCAAAAATACATAATTCAGCATTTCCCATGAATCATCTAAGGGCTCTTGATAAATGTAACATTGCAAGAACCCTTAGAAAAATAAAAAATTATTAAGACTTTATTAATGCAAACAATATGCTTCTGAGTAGAATCAGCTAGGATGCTATATAATCATTTGGGAGTTGAGTGTTTCAATGAAAAATACTGTAATTCATAGCAGTCTAAAAATAAATTATTTAATGATTGAAAAGTACACTAAGCCACAAAGAATGCAGGTACTGGATTTACTAAAGTGGAATTAAAGCAATTAAATATGTTTAATCCACAGATGTATACAAACAATACTGTCCTAATAAAGATAAAGCTCTATAAAATGAAAAATAAATAGAATCAGCATATAACTAAAATATTAAGTAAATCTATTATATAGCATTTGCTTACAATGCTTGTAATCATTTGTGCATTTTACCTCAGTAAATGTGTTTGTCCCAGGCTACCTGATCCCTACTACAAAAGATATTTCAGCACTTTTCCCAGCCATAGGTTGTCAATGCTCAGATATACAAAACAAAGTTTAATATTAAAGGAACTAAAGAAAAATCAGCAAGAAAAAAAGTAGCGCTACAAAGTTAAAATGCATAGGCTGTTCATTTACTCAGCAAAGTCTGTGGATGAGAAAATACAAGTTTTTTTTTTATAATTTTATTTTTTATAAACATATATATATATATATTTTTCCCCCCAGGGGTACAGGTCTGTGAATCTCCACGTTTACAAACTTCACAGCACTCACCATAGCACATACCCTACCCAATGTCCATAACCCCCCCTAACCCCCCTCTGCCCAGCAACCCTCAGTTTGTTTTGTGAGATTAAGAGTCACTTATGGTTTGTCTCCCTCCCAATCCCAACTTGTTTCATTTACTCTTCTCCTACCACATTAACCCCCCATGTTGCATCTCCTCTCCCTCATATCAGGGAGATCATATGAGAAAATACAAGTTTTAATCATGGCATTACCACCTACTAATTATGTCATACAAGTAAATCTCAAAAGCTTCAGCTTCAGTTTGCTTTTGTTAAATGCCCTCTTATTAACATACACTTAATAAAGTTGCTTTGTGGGAATCAAATGTTATTATGCCCTGAATCTTCTTTTTAACCCTTAGATACCTTTTCCACAGGTAGGAAGATTGTGGTCTAAAGTGTTTGAATATGTCTTTGAACTACAAAACTTAGTCATATTTAGGAGGAAAAAATATATAAAGAATTATACAGTGGCTACTTATTATCACTGCCCTAATAAAAATTACTCTAAAAGTAAATATAAGTCAGAAGTTAAACTTCTATCTCTGTACGCAGGTGATACTATCTTAAATGTATAAAACCATAAACGTTCCACACATACACATAAAACTGTTAGAACTAATAAACAAATTCAGCAAAGTTGCAGGATACAAAATCAACAGCAAAAAATCAGTTGCATTTCTATACACCAGCAACAAACAATTTCAAAAGGAAGTTAAGAAAACAATCCTGTTTATACTATCATCAAAAAAGAATAAAATAATTGGCAATAAATTAACCAATGAGGCAAAAGACTTGTATACTGAAAATGGCAAAACATTGCTGAAAGAAATTAAAAATAACACAAACCAATGGAATGATGGGCTGTGTTCATGACTGGAAGACTTAATATTTTTAAAATATCCATATTACCCAAAGCAATCCACAGATTCAAAACAATTCAATCAAAATCTCAGTGGCATTTCTTGCAGAAAGATAAAAAATCCTGAAATTCACATAAAACCACAAACCAACAATAGCCAAACATTCTTCAGGAAAAAAAAGAAAAAGAAGCTGGTTCCCAATTTTGATTTCAAAACATATCACAAAGCTACAGTATTCAAAATAGTATGATACTAGCTTATAACAAACATATAGACCAAGAAAAGAAAAGAGAGAACCCCAAATTAAATCCATGTATGTATGGTCAAATGATCTTCAACAAGGGTGCCAAGACTACTCACTGGGGAAAGCACAGTCTCTCCAGAAAATGGTGTTGGAGAAACTAGAAATATGCATACAGAAGAATGAATTTGGACCCTTATTTTATATCAGACACAAAAATCAACATAAGATGAATTAAAGACTTACATGTATGTCCCAAAACTGTAAAAATTCTAGAAGAGAACAGGTGAGAAATTTTGTAACAATAGTTCTGGCAATGATTTCTTGGATATGACACCAAAAGCATAGGAAATAGGACATGGACAGGTGGGACTACATCAGCTAAAAAAGCTTCTCTATGCCAAAGGAAACAATCAACAGAGTGAAAGCAAACCTTCTCAATGGGAGAAAATATTTACAAACCATATATCTCATGAGGTGTTAGTATTCAGAATATATTAGGTACTCCCATGAATCAATAGCAAAAAGCAAAATAACCCAATTTAAAAATGGTCAAAGAGTATTGGGTGTCGTGCATAAACAATGAATCTTGGAACACTGAAAAAAAAAAAGTAAAATATGAAGTAGTTTGATTAATTAATTAATTAAAATTAAAATGGGCAAAGAAGACACACAAATGGCCATATTTGAAAAAAAAATGTTCTATATCACTAATCATCAAGGAAATGCAAATCAAAGCCACAATGAGATATCACCTCACACCTGTTAGGATGGCACTTATCAACAAAGAAACAAAAAAACAGAAAATAAGAAATGTTGGCAAAGAAATAGAAATAGCAGCCTTTGTGCTTTGTTGGTAGGAACATAAAATGATGCAGCCACTATGGAAAACAATGTAGGATTTCTTCAAAAATTATAAATATAATTCCTAAATGATCCAACAGTCCCCTCATTTCTGGGTATTTATTCAAAAGAATTGAAGACAGGATCTGGAAGAGATATTTGCACTCTCATTTCCATTGCAGCATTATTCATATTAGACAAGAGACAGAAACATCCCAAACATCCATCAGTGGATGAAGAGATAAACTGTGGTAATACATAAAATGGAATATTATTCGGCCTTAAAACTAGAAGGAAAACTGGCATATGCTACAATCCAGATAAACCCAGAGGACATGATGCTGAGTGAAATAAGCCATTACAGAAAGACAAATACTGCATGATTCCACTTACATGAGGTTTCTAATGTACTCAAACTCATAGAAGTGTAAAGTGGAATGCTGACTGCCAGGGACTGGGTGGGAGAAAGAAATGAAGAGCTGCCATTCAGTGGGTATAGAGTTTTAGTCAAAACTCTGAACTGCAAGACCAAGAAGTTCTATTTGTTTTTATTAAAGATTTTATTTTTTTTTATTTTTCAGAGAAAGAGAGAGAGAGAGATAGAGGCAGACAGAAGGAGAAGCAGGCTTCCTGCTGAGCAAGGAGCCCAACATGGAACTCAATCCCAGGACCCCAGGATCAGGACCTGAGCCGAAGGCAGCCGCTTCACCGACTGAGCTAACCAAGTTGTCCCAAGACGAAGATGTTCTAGAGATCTGCTGTACCCAGATGTGCACAGAGTTAACGGTACTGTACCATGCACTTAGAGATTTGCTAATAGGGTAGATGTCTTATTATGTGATTTTTTTGCCAAAATAAAAAATAACAATAATAAAGTGGTTAAATTTCTAAGTCCTTTATCATATGATCGATCTCACTTCTGAAACAAGTAATTCACATATACCTTCATT